ATTACTATCCAACGTTTCATATATCCTAGCTGAATCATACAATTCAAGACAATATAAACATGATTGAATGGTTCTGGAAAGTACTGACATCACCTTGGCCATCCCTTTCATGATATTGCATGATGTTAGGCTTTATGGCCAAAGTATTAAGATACTTTCCAGAAGGGTGTATTCTGTATGCAAGAATTTACACTATGTGCAAGATTTAAATAGAAACTTTATATCCAGGTTATTAAAAGGAAGTTAATAATTATTAAATATAGGATTCATAAATACAAATACTAATCAAGCCAAACTAAGAACTTTCCTCTTTTGACGATTGAAGCAAGCTTCAGACAAGAATATTTTCGCATCAACTATCGTCAAAAAAGGAAACAAAACAGTACAAAATATATTAAAAGCGTTGTACCTTTCGTGTCAGACTAGAAAGTAGAAACCAATGGCGGCGCGACCTCTTGGTTAATTGACGGTGTAGATTTCACTTCGCCTTCATATATTCCAGTTGATTCATCGTCTTAGATAGATATAATCTTTAAATTTTAACCTTCGACAAGCAAATACATGTGAATAATAAATATTTTCATCTGAATTTGTTTTGAAAACAAATAATTTTTTGAAATTTTTGAGCCGTCTCGCACGTGTCTCGAACTCGCGGGACCAGTGCGAAATTTTCCTGCGTCCTGATTGGATGATGCCCACGCATGCGCTACGTTTACCCGAGTGTCAAGTTATCGCGCATGCGTTTGTTTCAATGGTTTGGTAAACACCGACCTAAAGCGTCCCACATGCACCACGCCAGGCAACTGTAACGTACTTATATACCGAAATGTTACTATTACTTGTGTGTGGTAGTTACCGATCATAGGATCTTGCGAAAAGGGTGCCAGGCGTAATGGTCTGGGGGCCGCCGGCACTCTCCCCCGTAGTTCGTTCGATACCGGTTGGTAAGCCACCTATTCACCGCCTCTGACGATAGCGTTGAGTTTAGCCGAAATCTAGCTTAAACGTTAACATACGGCGTTCTAGCGGCTAGCACGAGACGGACTTGACCGATACGGGCTAGCAGAGTCGGGAAGTATGGACTGATGAGGCACTTTTCTTTTAAAAAAAATTATTTCTAATTTACCATTCGATATAAAAACAGATCTTCTAATTTACCGATCAATTGAATTGCGACTAAACAAAGTTAGCAGTGTGTTTTGTGCTTTTTATCTAACTTATAAAAATCTAAAAATGTATCTTTACTACTTTTTTATGTCATATACTCATATCAAATTTAAAAACAAGATTAAAAACCTAACTTAACCTATTTTAAGTTCTAAAGTTTAAGTTTCACGCCAGGATACCAGCTATTTCGCCATTTTGTAGGTACCCGTCTACTTTCTGGTCCGCCTTCATTTTAACCAATCAGATCACGATCCACAAAAGCTCGTAATCTGATTGGCTAAAATGAAGTGATCCGTTAATCCCACCAAGCTTGAAAGAGTCTGGGTAATTGTTGAGCTTCCTCGTCCCCAGGCTCTATAAAATGATGTGGCCCACAAGTGTCACAGCGAACGTAACTGAGCCACAGCAAAATAAAATAAATGGGAAAATAAAGTTAACTCAAAGTAAAACGAAACTAACTCAGGGCAAAATAAAAAGTCGCGGCAAAATAAAGTTAACAAGTCAAGACACTCGAAAGAGCGTTAACTCAACCTCGTACTCGCTGGGGCTATACAATTTCATTCCCCGAGAGCCTGCGATCCTCCTTCCCAAGGATCACAGGCTCGGGGAACGAGATTGTGGGGCTATAGTGATACGCATGTTTAGTACTACTGCCACTATCGGAGAAAAATGCGTGCCGAAACCTATACTCGCCTGGCACGAGCCCCAGCAAGTAAAAAGTTATTTTTCTCTTTGTCGTAACAATGTCACTTTGTTAAACGGCAACGATGCAGTATTATTAGAAATCCATACCAGTTCCTGTGTCTATAAAATTACCATTTTGTGAATAATATTTCGTTCTAGAATAGACATATACGGTAAACAGTTCTCAAAAAGCAGCATAACTTCAGTTTAATACAAATAATGTACAAAATTTTAATATTCACATAATAAAAGCACTGAATTATTATCAAATTGAAAGGTGACAGACTTATCTCATTGTTAAAATTAACTCATCGTTAAATACCGATTCCCAATCAGAATCCAACATACTACAATCACTCTCGAATGTCTTGGGACAAATGCCACAAAAACCTTTAATTTCAACACACATCAACCCCCCTCCCCCTGTATCAAACATTACCGTTTCATTTATTTTAGCTTTTAGGTAAGGTATTTACCATTAAAATGTGTGCCATTTTTCGTCAGATTTGATGTGTTTTGGTATTCAAATTGAGAAGGCAACATTGATTGGGGAGGGGAGCGGTATATTGTGTGTAACAAACTGTAATGATCCACTTACAATGTAAAACTACATGTGTCCCAACAACTTCTGAAAGTGATTGTAGTTGCTTCTAAAAGATACAGACCTTAAGATTGACGTTTGCGTCGGTAAGGGCAAACGGCAAACTTCAAATCGTATCTACAAGTTTTCGACACTTTCGACAGCGAAGTAGCAAATTCATGCTACAATTTTAATGCACAAATTGTCCTGACATCGAGCTCAAAATGGCATTTTTTAAAAGTTAGCCGTTTGGAGTTAGCGGTCTGCCGTAAATGCCCATTTTAATGTTTCTATCATACACACGTGAAAAGCTCACATCTTGAAAACAAGTTTAGTTTGTAGCAAGATAGTTAGCAGTCTGTGTCAACAGCACGGCTTTGCAACAAGTCACATACGAGTCACATCTTGCTACAAATCTGCTGTAAGCTTGTTGCAAGTTGCGTTTTCCTCAGTGATTTTGCGAGTTATAGTTTTTGCGATGTGTGGATTTGATGTGAAAGCATGCAAACAGGGGCGCAACTGCTGGGGAGGGAGGGGTGTGTGTGACACCACCCAAAGTTTAAAAATGATACTCAGGCAAATTTTGCCTAGCGTTGGGCTGTATGTCGGGAAAATTTTCCGTTTCCGTTCGTGGGCGCGGCTTTGGTTGGTGACCACGCCATTTTGTTGGGCAAGAAGAGCTCACAGCCCCCCTCCCCTCAATACGTACAGTCAAGTTGCGCCCCTGCATGTAAAAGAAGTCCATGTATCTGTATATGCTGTGAATTCCCAGTTGTCCCATTTAAGTCCCTTATCCCGTTGTCAATACATCAGACCTTTCTCATAATGACGTTCAACGCGGATAAACACTTCGGCTCTCGTTTGTCCCGGATGTGACACGCAATAATTTTTAACAACCAATGCAAATCGTTGGCGAGCCAATAAATGTCATGTAACAGCATTCACATTGCCAATTGTCGCTAAAAATTGTCCCGTGTAACATCGCATGAAGGCTTGATTTCACGATGGCGGAATTCTTCGCGAAAAATTGTTCTGATTCTATTGAATTTTTCCACTTTTTTTTTCCTTTCACCGTGAGTAGAACTGACATCCTCTCACTGGAGAATCGAAATTTTTTCTCGCGAAGCGATCCGACCTTTACGGCAAGCGTTTGACGTCATTATAAGAAAAATTTATTATATATCTCGTCGTTTTGCAACATACATAGATCATTTGCACAATTACTGGAGCACGGACTTCATTCTTTTGAAAACAGACAGAAACGTCAAGGCTGAATAAAATTCAAAAGAAATGAAAGAATAAAGTTGAGGCTAAGGCTTTTTGCTGCGATTTTCTACTTATGATGGATGCGAATGAGTGGATAAGTTATGAATGTTCACATGAAGGTACATGTACTCCGAACATTCGTAACTCATCTACTCGTTCACATACATCAGAAGGAGAAAATCGCACTAGGAATCACAGCGAAAATTGCAAGTGTAAACGGTCCTTAACGCTACGCTCCAGTAATTCTGCAAATGGTCTGTTCTACCACAGAATAAGAAGGTACAGCAGCAGTGTAACTCAAGCAAGTATTTGTCCGCGTTTTTACAAGCGATTCGTCATCAATCACGCCATCCTGGCTAGTACAACCGGCACTTTGTACCTAGCAAAACCTGATAAAAACTTCCGGTTGTACTAGCCAGGATGGCGTGAGCGAGTTAAAATTTTCGTGGACGTAAAAAAATAAGGGAACCAACTCGAGTTACACTTCTGCTGTACCTTCGTATTCTTGTGATTCTACATACAACAGTATGAAAGGTCTGCACGCCATCAGCAATGTGCTAGGAGAAAATTAACTTGACAAATCCCTCTACATCTTGAAGAGGTGTTCCGCAGAAAGGACAAGCAGCCCGAAACGCGTGACAGCCATGGGGTAACGGTACTTGAGACCAAAACCTGGAATCAGAGATAATAATCAGTCGAAATAAAGCAAAAAGTAATACGCAATGGCTGAAACCTGGTTTTCATATATCGCAATTCGTCGGGCGATGATTAATTAAGAAAATCTATTCCGATAGACAAATAATTTTATACACCAATGACCATTGACGATGGAGTCAGTTGAGCATCGCTGATGATTTGTGGTATATGAAAACCGGGCTTTGTACATGCACATTTGGGTGTGTTAGTGTCACTGGGTAGTTAGTGGATGAGAATTTCGTCTCTGTAAGTGAGGTTTGATTCCTGCAGTATGCAGTCGTCTGTGCGAACAGCTCTTCCAGTCTGACTCTGCTAATAACCACAGGATTTCTCTAGTTTTCTCCTGTAGTTACACAGGCCACCAAGAGACTACCATTATACTGGATCTCTAGACCTATCCTGAGTATAATTAGAGTTAGTTATGTCAGGTTCGAAATTTGAAGCCAAACTTGAAAGCCAGTTCCTAAAATCGCATCGTGTGCGCCAGGCTTAAAACCATAGTAACTAGGCATGCGAGTTATCCAAAGTTGTGACCTGGGTAGCAACGATGTGATTGTAGTTTAGCAGTATACAAATAATGAATGTTTATTCGTGCAATGGTAAGAATATTTTCATTCGGTGAAAGATGGAATGTTCCATTCAACGAGGCGACAGCCCAGTTGAATGGAACGAGGCGACAGCCGAGTTGAATGGAACATTCCATCTTTCACCGAATGAAAATATTCTTACCATTGCACGAATAACCATTCATTATTTGTTTTATATAATACCAAAATAGACTAATAGATTCGTATGCATGAGAAGCATTTTGACGGATGCGATTTATCGAAAACACAAAGAGTGCAATAAAACGTATAGTACAATTGCACTCGCAAAGAGTGCAATGGAACGTATTCCAATTTCCATTGCACTCATGGGAAATGGAAATTTCTATTCAATATCACGTGACCATAAACAGCCAATTAAACGATTAGAATTCAATAAGGTATTATATAATAAACCTTACGTACCTTACTGTTGCTTCAGAACACATGTGAGCACAAGGAACGAAGGCGTAATATTCAGGTTTACAATCTACCCACAACGCAGCCTCGACACCAAGCTGAAGCTTCGTATATGGTCCAATCTGTCGACACAAGGGACATGTTCGTTCCACTCCTTCATACATCGTCGAGTTCCACGTGTGATAGCCGTGAACATGACCACACTTTAGATACACGTGCGGTGTTTTGGAACGCGTGCGCTAGAGAATGAGAATTAAAGCCCGTTCAGACAAAGCCAACAGCTTGGTCTAACACTGTGAGATCCAGGGCTCGAATTTTATCGCGGCAATTGCCGTAGAGGGAGAACAAAATGCCGTGGATCATTGCGGCAACGACGGCAATTTTTTTGCCGTATAGTGTAATTTTATACTATTCACTGTACATTACTACTTTGATACTTGAATTCAGATGTTGATCAAATCATGCGTAAATCACTATTTTAGTCTCAGTTTTCTTCGAAAAAAAAAACACTAAAAAAATACGTAGACATGTTTCTAGCTTGTCAACAATCCAAAGTAACAATAAAATTAAATTTTTATTACAGTAATTTGAAAAATGCCGTGGAAACTGCCAAAATTGCCGTAGACAGCTGTTACGTTTTACGGCAATTTTTAACGCCATTGCCGTCGATTGATTTCAGGGAAATTCGAGGCCTGGGGTCGGTTGTATAAAAAAGCAATTAAAGTTAACTATAGTTAAGTGCAAACGTCATCCAATAAGAAGCGCCTATTTGAGAGTTAATCACTATTTAACTACGAAATAGTGATTAAAAAGTGATTAAGAGTTTTATACAACCGGCCCCTGGTGAGATCTATATATATATCTGGAGTAAGAACTTCAGTCATTCGGTCAATGAGAAAAGTGAAGCCAAGATGGCAGAAATTGACGACCAATAGCTCTGAAGGTCGTAAACAGTTTTTATATCATTTCCCAAGCTAATTCCAGTTTTTTCTAACGGACCGTATCGCTAACCAAGTTTTCAGTTCAGAAAACCATAGTGTTATTCTTTAAATCGAAGTCAAAATACGAAATATCGGCACACTTCTTGCCAAGATGGCGGAAATTGAAAGAGCTATTGGACGTCAGTTCCAGTCCCTTTCTATTGTTTTTGACTGCGCGGTTAACACGAAGCTGGCTTCAGTTTTTGGATTCCAGTTCTCGCTCCAGATATATATGGGGATCACTGGATCAGGGGTGGAAAAAAGATTTTACTTTCTGGGACCGCAAGAGAACATTTCTGCAAATAATCAAGTAAATCGACACTCGAAAGCTGCAACTTTTGTGACACTAACAAGTTATCAAACGGCATGACATGCTATATTAACAGAAACAAAAATTTTCCACGGACTGAGAATCTTATATATTTTCAGGAATATAACATACATGCATCAGGGTCCGATCCTAAGGGAAATTTACAGAAGCCAAAAAAATGGCCACTACTAGGGGGATCTGGGGGTATTGAAAACCAGATGTCTCAGATTGGCTACTAAAAATGCATTTCTGGGAACTCCAAAATTTTCTGGGACCAATGGTCCTGTGGTCCGATACTTTTTCCACGCCTGTAGATGATGTTCGTTGATGTTGGAACACGTTGGATCGAGTATGTACTACTCGTCCAACATACAGTAGTTGGAGCAACAATGTTAGACCGGGCTGTACTCGTTTGAACCAGGCCTAGAAAATGTATTTCTCTTCCTTGACAGGCAAATCCAAAAATAAAGTTTAGGGGAAAAATAGGGTAGCAAGAAAATATAACCCAAGCGCATAAAAAGCACATTTAGGGTCGACAGAGAAAGATGGTCGATCGGGAAACCAGACTGACGAAAATACATACGTTTGTTGGTCGGGTTGGATTCGATGGAAATTCTAATGTCATAAGTCCAACCGGGCATTGTGGCTTGGCCGCATTTAACTTTTGTCTTATTTCTTCTATATCACGAACAGACTGTAAGAAGAGAAAACAGCGATTAAACTCTGCAATTATACATAGTGTTTCCACAAACCAAAACATATATTGTCGCCAAGCAAAACTATAAATGCTTACAGGCATTTTCGCAATTCCTTCTCTTGACCTCCACAACAAAATTGCTCCACAGAGATCAATTAAAGTGCCATCCACTAAAACATTCGATTCATTTGCAATCTGAAAGTAACAAAATGCATATTTCTTCTTTTAACGTCAAGGACGAAGGAGTATGGCGTTCTGAAGGTGCGGTTTTTCAACGCAAAAACTGCTTCAAAACCGTGTTTTTGAGGAGGGAACATACTAAACCAAATCTAACTTTATTTCCACTTTCTTTCTTCAGCCTAGAGGTCCAGTAAGTGCCATCCCTTCTTAGCCCAGTGCGACTTTAGGAGAAAACGTGAGTCCCCAGAGAAAACCTGCGGTGTTTGATAGAGTCTCGAAGCATTTTCCTCGCTTTCAATAGACAACTTGCATGTTAGACTAATTTTTGATTTAGGCAAAAAAAAGTAAATTCCCGTAAAGAACTTATTAAAATTAGTAAAATTGCAAAATTTGGTAACGAAATGTTGTAAAATACGGAAAATATAGCCTTGCGAAGTTTGCATATTTTCAGTATGTTTGTATTACGTGCGGAAATTGTTACCATTTTTGAGCTGGAAATGGTAACAATTTCCGCACGTAATACAAACATACTGAAAATATGCAAACTTCGCAAGGCTATATTTTCTGTATTTTACAACATTTCGTTACCAAATTTTGCAATTTTACTAATTTCATTATGTTCTTTTTAGCGGTGGTGTTTGATTCCCTTCTCTTTACTTAGATTAAAATTTAGTCTAACATGCAAGTTGTCCATGGAGGCTAAAGCCCGGATCAAACGAGAATGAGAGTCATGAGAGTTGGCAGTCACTCGACCTTGGTTAACTGTTCTTAATGCTTTCCCAACACTATCATGTATTCTATTGACGTTAAAACATAGTTGGAACACTTATCAAACCTATGTTTTGTAGAGCTTGTATAGCTCATACCTATATGGGCCTCGGCCCCCTCGCTTCTACCGACTGTGTCATGTGGAGCAACAAGAGCAATGGTTTACTGCTTTCAAGGAGTCTGAGTTTGATTGTGAAACTTAAACAAGAACGATATGTTTTTTAAATTACTTTGTCAAAACATTTTAAGTGTAAAAATAGTCGACATTAGTTATTGAAAATCATTGTTAAATCCACTCTGGTTAAATTTTGTATGGCATTCCCGCATGCATGTCCCAACTCTCATCCACGTTTGACCGGGGCTTACATGTATAACAGATAACTAATGAACTAAATAATTCATTCACAGAGGTGACAGGCAGATCACTAACCACTGTGCCATGACCATACCACATGTTTCAAAAAGAAAGCCATGTTTTTAACAAAAGAGGTGTTCCGTGAAGTACTGAATATGAGGATTACAACAGAGTTGCATCTTTTCACTCACTTTTTTCCCTGCCCCACGATCTGATCTCGCTTTTCTGAGACCATAAATATCGCCCGCAATAGAGACCTCCCTCCACACCCCCGGGCCATTAAACATCACACCATGTTGGCCACTGTGAGGGTGTAGGATGAGCACTCCATTGGTTGTTAATCCATCCATCATGCCATTCTCCTGATTCCATTTGATTGCTTTGGGCTGTAAAGAAGAAGCTCAAAGTCATGCATAGACGGATTTTGCTGGGGGGGAGGGCAAAAATTTTGGGGGGAGTTGAGCAATGGGCCATGGGGTGTATAGCACAGCTGCAGCAGGGGTCTGGGGGCACAGTTGCTAATGGTGGTAAGGGGGCAGAAGTGCAGGGAATTTTGAGATATTTGGTCTTATTTAGTTCAAAATCCTTGTTTTTAGTCATACAGGTATTTAGTTCAAAATCCTTCTTTCAATCATACTACTGTCATTTAATCCAACGAGCATTTGTTCACTCTCATCAACTTTAACCCATTAAGTTGCATTGCACCCTAATTTAGCGCCAAGCGAATTTTGGCATGAGCGGTGATGAAAATCTCATGCAAACTGCCAAACACTTGCTCATCAGGGTGATATATGTCAGTTTATTAAGAATGTTGAGCATTAAATCTACTTAGAATTCATACCCCAAGGCAAATATTCTTCGATTTATCAAAGCCAGCAGCATAAATTCTTGCTGTGTATGGTGGGGATCGATCAACATAGATACGACATGCAAAACGTGATATTGTGCTCTTGGAGAGCATACAGTCTGTCGCTTTCTCGGCATTGGGGACGACATCCATAACCACACAGTCATTGACGTCTGATGAACGACCAATCTACAGAAGCAGTAGGTAAGAGTTGTAATGTACAAATTACAGGGTTACAATATTTAGTTGGCTGATGACTTGATGCATGTTGTGTTCAGTTCCTAGTGTAGTTTTCTGGTTATAATTGCACCTTCGTCTTGATGTGAGAAGAGTGTACATCAGGGATGTAGCCAGCCCCAAACGAGTACCCTGGAAATTTTTGCTATTTTTAGGTCTGCAAAATGCTATTTCATGCATTTTAGACACAGAGATGAATGCACTATGAGGTTACACCCCCCCAGGTTCTCCTCAGTTTTGGAAAACATTGCAAAATTGGTCCTGAAGAAATGGGTGGGGGGGGGGGCAGGGAAGTGGTTTGATAGTGATAGTAGAACTTATAGAATGAAGTCAGTTTTTGAATTCTAACATACATGTAGGTATGTAGGTGCATAATTTTATTACTTTATAGGTGTGCAATGTATTTAACCCCAGCCTATCATGATCTACCTGAAACATATCAACACTTGGAACTGTTTCATACGTCACAACCATGTTTTTCTTCTCACTCACTGCATAACACACGGAATGAACATCTGATGACACAAAGTCCTGTAAAGAATCAATGTCATAAAGATGCATGCAAAACATAGTCAGAATTATGTATGTCATTCTAGGCAGCTGTGGATTGAAAGCGATACAACTACCTGAAAAATACAACGTTTTGAGCAAAGGCCCAGGATTTAGTATAAGGGCCTACACTCGAAACATTGAAGTTCTGCTTGTACTTTTCTGCTTATATTCTTCTAGTTCTGTAGTTGTAACCCTCACAATCAGTACTGTCTTGACATCATCACTACCTACACAGCAACACAGTCTCCTCCAAAGTAGATGGATAGCATCAATTGTCAAAAAGTAAATACTGTAGATGATAATCATCTATTTTGGCGAAAAAGAATCTCCCACAAACATTAAAAAACACCGCATCTTTAAAACCACCTCACCCTAATAGTACTCGATTAAGGCCAAATAAAAAAATGGTTGGTTTCAGGTTTCACAGCCATGTTTTATATGGGTAGGTAGGTGGGAAAAACATTTTATTTTAAAAAATATTTTATCTCGAGTATGCAATAAATATAAGTTACAACTCATTATAAACTCTTAGTTTTTATTGTTTTTACATGTGTTTCAAGAGAAACATGTTACAGTACATGCAAGCCACATGTGTTTAATATTAAAAACGTACATTATTCTCAGTATTCTGACATGGGATCTATGGCTGAAAAAAGATGAAAATGCCTTGATGCATTTGTTTCTTGCAAGAAACAAATACATCAAGGCATTTTCATCTTTTTTCTGCCGTAGATCCCATGTCAAATTACTGAGAATAATGTACGTTTTTAATATTTTATTCAACTGTTCTTTGTGTAAAACTATGATTAACATGACTATATAGATAATGATTAAATTATAAGCAAACAAAATAATTTGTTGACAAATGAGTCTGATGACTATTTATATATTCTGCTATATTTACGAAAAGATGATTTCTACTGGGAAATGTCAATAAAATGTTTATGGTCGGTCATATTTTTGACAGGTTGGTCGGAAACCTGAAACCAACTATTATTTTTATTTGGCCAAAGCTATTGGGAGACCACTGGAGACATTTAGCATTATCCTAAAAATTCCTAATGTTTGAAATTTTCTAATATCCAGTCGTTTAATATACACGTCATTCACAGTTTGGAATCTAAAACCAAATTTTAGATATTGGGATACTGCAAATTTCAGAGCCTGGATATTAGAGAAATATTAATATAAGAGAAATAGTAGCAGCATGGTCCCTTACAACAGATTGTCTGACTGATTCATAACAATATTGCCTGCAAGGTTTCTGTGCATTTCCTGTGTCTCGTTGTTTTAACAAAAACTTGCTTGCTAAGCGAGCATCCCCTGTCTCAAATGGTATTCTGCCATTAAATCTAAAGCAAGAAAGAAACAATAATTGTACAATAATGGTCTTTCAAGACTTTGGCTAAATTTGGAAGTGAATATTTAATATTGAATACTGGGTTTTAAAATAGTTTGAATATAAATATTCTAGTATGAATATTTGAAAGAAAATTAATATTTCAGGAATATTTAAGGTACAGTAGGAATATTGTAGACAGGAATACTGAAGGTTATAGACAGATTTTCTGGGGGGGGAGTGCAGGGGGGTGCTATCCCCTCCAATATTAGCTATAACCCCCCAAACAAAATGTTCACCCCTCCAAAAAAATTTTCAACCTCCCCCCAATATTCAGCATAATAAATAAATAATTAAATAGTCCACTCCAACGTGCAGAGTGTTGATGATACAAAATAAACGTAGGAGTACACTCGAACAGAAAAAGACAGTGCAACACTCTGAAATTAATCGCTCCTCGCTTGTATTCACTGGTTTATTGGAGCAATTGTAAAGTTTTGAAACTCTATTATCTCCCCTGAATAGAGTTTGCAGTGTCTTGTCATGCGAATAGCTTGCACGCAAGAAATGTTTGGAATTTTTACGAACACTATTTTTAGTTCTTAATTCTTTTAGGAAATAGACTTGCCTAGATATAATCTTTACGCCCCAAATATTATTTACATCGGAGTTGCATCATAAATTGTACTCGGATTCAAACAACACAATGTCAATGACTTAATTTATAAAAGTAAAAGCATATTGTGTATTGGCCTATTGGGCTTACACTTTTATAGGTTCATTTAACTTTAAGTGTTTAACTCTCTCAAGTCTTAACAGACAATCGGACATGCCAAATTCATTGATATGACAAATTGACAACTTCAAAAAACTTTTTTTCGAAGCTAGAAATCATGATTTTTTTCAAATTTTTCCTGGGATACTTTGTTTTCTGCTCTCTAAACTCCCCCTTGCGGCTCTAGTGCTCCACCCCTAGAATATAGACCTTACTGGGGTTTGGTGACACTTTGTGTTGCTTCAGTCACCCGCTCACGGCTCACCCCCCTAAAATTTCTGGCACCACCCCAGTAATAAATATGAAAATCCGTCTATGGTTGTGACATAATTATTTAAAGGGTGTATTAGAAACTCAAAAATATTTAAAATTTATTCTCAATGTTTCAGGACTCACAACTATTACAATTACTCATACAACACATAAAAAAATGGAAAAAAAACATCGATCATAACAGACCTCTCAACTCTCACGCATTCGGTGTGAGTCTCACGCAATTCGCTACACTCTCACGCTCTCACGACACGTTTAGTAAATCTCACGCATATAGCAGTTTCATAGTATTTTTTCAATAATATAATATTGTATTCTTAAATGCACATTATTAATCATTATACGTATCGCGAATCGAATATATAATCCCGTGTTATTGTCCCTGCATTACTACATATACGGCCCGACATTTTGCCCCTAAGTTCCTAACCCTAACCCTATGTAAATACGGCGGACAAAAGGCAGAATCAGTCGGAGCAGAATTCTATATGTAAATTATCAAAGGCAAATTAAAGCTCATTACTGTATGTTGCAGAAATACAGTTATTGTAACTACAGTGCCTTGTCTTAAAGGACGTTATGAAGCAATGTATTTCTGATTAAAAAACACCATGGCCAACTCTCATAATGTACGAAATGCCATTTCAGACCCCAGGACTTTTACAAAGGTGAAAGGTGTCATCCACATCCCCAATCTCACTCTTAACTTCTCTGCAAAGTTGAGAGGTCTGTCATAATGAGTGGCCAATTCTTAAATCTGATTGGCCATTACGCACCGAGAGCGACAAGTTGACTCGACAAATCCCTATGGGTAAAATCTGCTCTTTAACCAGAGAAATTCGAGCTCAATCATGCAATTAATTAATAAATAATATCAGTCGACTTGTAGCAAGTCAAATGCACACAATGCACAAGGAATTGACAAAGTGTGTTGTATTTATTGTCTTAAGCTACCCAGGCTTGTCATTTCTGAGTTGACCCCCCAAGAATGAGATTTGAAAGGACACAAAAATATTTTCTACATATATTTATACTAACCCAGTACTTGTATATACGAGTATATTGTGCCCATTTTTAAACACAAAATCTTATTTGCTTTAATGAACTAACCTAATTTAAACACATTTAACAGCTAAATTTGTATATTTGGGATTCGATTAATAACATGCTAAATGACAACCAATATTTGCACGGCAATTTCGAAGTTAATTATACCTTATAATCAATGGAATTGAAACTATTTTACAATACGAGTTGTGCATAGAAACGAAATGAAGTTATTACTTTAAAACTATCAACGATAAACGAATAAATTAGCACATTAAAAACCGAAAAAAACTATTTATAAACCCCACTTGGACACTTAACGGCAAAATGTGTCCCTTTAACACACCTTCGAATTGCAAGTCTGTTAACAGGAACTGCTATAGAAAAAAAGAAATATAAAATATGAGGCATTCTAGATTCATTTGGTAGGGGAAATAAGAAATAAACAGGTGTGAATGCATGGAAAATTCATCAAAGCTTACCTGTTGGTCAGCCATTTTCAACTCAAAATCCAGACCGGATACCAGTATGATTAGAAAACAACATACACCCATCCATTTCCGGTCTGGCTTGGACACAGCAAACCCAGGCTGGCTCGTCATCAAGATTCAAGATGTATTCGCAGCAGGCTTGTAGCAAGCTTGTCAACAAGTTAT